GCTTGACATAATGGATAGAGGTATGGATTGTGATAGAGTTGTACGAGCCCCCAATAAAATGATTAAAAAACAAACACACAATGATCTCAAACATAAGCACAGCGGTGAGGATGAGGCAGAACCAGGCAGTGCTGCACTCAGTCGTACATGGGGTCGCTGTGAGTCTCAGCCGACCGAACCTTACAACGACAACAACGTTAGCATAGCTTTCATGGGAGGTTTCTTCAGACAGGTCAGAGTTCACTAAGAATTGTCAAAGGCAGCTTTTTTTAGTGTCCTTTTATTGTTGTCATTGTTGTTGTTAACTCGGCTCATTCACACAGTTGCCTCCGGGAGATTTTCTTGTCTTGCCCATAACAAAGCTAGACTCTGGGACTTCCATCTGAGTGATGCTCCACTGCTGCTCACGGGAGGCACCCTTTGTCTTGAAGACATTGGTGAGGCTACCACCATGCCCACCAGCGAAGCCATGCTATTAGACAGTCCGTCACATCAAAAAGTCTTAGTAAAAATTTCCATTCTGACTGTGACTCCTGACTAAAGGGAGCAAGAGGGCCAGGGAAGATCCAGCCAAGTCATCAGACTGTCAGTTGTAAGAAAATGAATTAGTCGTTGGCTGGCATCCGTCAGACATCCCAATTTCAAATAAATGAAAACCCACTAAGCCCATCGGGCAATTCTAGTCCTGGAATCAATCCCATGTCTCCGTAGACTTTTGACACACCGGGGGAGTCTGAGAGCTGTGTGGGTGTTGAGGTGGGAGCCTTGAAGCCGCCTCTCTTACCTGCTGCACGAGGAGATCGCCGATGCGGTCGATCACAAAGTTCCTGTCGTTGCCAACGCAGGCTTCCTGCCTTCGCTCCTTCAGGCTGCAAAAGAAGTGCCTGTGGGTTTGCAGGAGCTCATCCAGGCAGGGGAAGATCTTGTCCACCGTGCTGTGGTCCAGCTGCAGCTCCTCCTTCATCCCTCTTCGGAAGATCTCAGACATGCTGAGGAGGGTCTGCAGGTGATGCATTTCCGTCTGCATGAGCTCTGAAACACGGGAGCAGACACAAACACGCTGGGGCCAGAAAGGACCTCGGCGGCGGGCTGGCCCTTGCAGCGCAGCACGGCATGTTACGCCAATAAAAAGGAGACGTGCTTAGGGATAACGTGCCACTCTGCAAGTTGGCATGGATAAAACATCGCCTTCAAACCCAAAAGATGATATGATCCCCCCCCCCTTAGACACTGAAAGAAGTGTATGAGAAACCAAGCAGCAGAATCTGATGGATCTGCAGCTATGAAACCATAAGCAGCAGGCATCTTTGGATTCCTTCAGCAAGGAAGTAGGTCCTGTTCCCTCCTGAAGGCTCTCCCCCAGTTGATTTGCTTGTTTGCATGCAGGATGAGCACAATTACAGTGGTGCAATCAGTATAATAAAGCTCTTGAAAGAAGGCCACTTGTTGGACCCTTCTACTTGCAGGATCTGTTTTCAAAATTCCACTTTCTCCAGGGTCAGGGGAAAGGTATTATGATCGAAGGGCACTGTGAAGAACATAAAGTCAGCCTACAGAGCAGTACAGGGGAAAACCAACCACCAGGCACTTGTCAGATAAGGGACTGGAATCAAGAATATATAAAGTACGCTGACCACCCAATAAGCTAAGACAACTCACTTTAAAAAGCAGGCAAAAGATTGGGAGGGGGAATTTTCTTTTCTTCAACGAAGACATACCAATGGCTAATAAGCACGTGAGAAGATGCTCAGTTTCATTAGCCACAAGGAAGTGCCAATCAAAACAAGGACAAGAACAACACATCACCCCACTGGGATGACAATAATCAGGGCAACCAAGTAGTATTGAGCATGCGGAAAAATTAGGACCCTCATGTACTGCCGATGGAAGTGTAAAAATCCTTTCTGGAAAACTGGCAAGCATCCCTTAAAAGCTAAACCTAGCGCTGATTGAAAAAAATTGGATGAAAATATCATGGAACTTTTTTCCCAGGAACTTTCTGAAGTCCTCTGGTATACGTGAAAATGTTTTTGTTGTTCGTTTTGTTTGTTTGTGTGTGTGTGTTTGTTTTCAAAGCCACATAATTTCCTAATTTAACTATAAAATGTAGACTTCCCCTAATGCAGATGCCCCTGCCCTCTATTTCCATGAGCATGGAGAATGGAAATCTCACCAGAGGTGAATTCTACAGTCAGGGCTGGAGTCCACGGTTGAGCTCGGCTCTAATCCAATGCTGCTGGCCCCCGCTGCCATCACGAGTGACACCCCAAGGCTGTGCAATACAGACTGTCCAACCATGTGTAGTAGCCCCTTGACCCAGCAGTCTAAGAGGTGGATGGTCACTGTGATTTTTTAAGACATCAGACGAATACAGGCTAAGCCTCCACACACTTGAAAAGAGAATATGGCAGACGGAATTCTAAACAAGCATCCAATGCCTCATTTAATCCTCACAACTTAAACCTACATGGCAGTATCCCCGTTTTACGGAGGGAGATACTGAGGTTCAAGCGAACTGAATAATTAACCTGCGATAAAGTACCTGGAAGATCATCAAAGTGGGGCTTGCCCCAAGCCTGTGGGGATTCCAGTCCCATGCACTTTCCCAAACACCACCATGCTTCGATCGATCGATCCGGGGCCACGTGGGGAACACTCACCGAAAATGACATCCTGCCTTTTGACGACCTCTTTCTCCTGCCTGCTGCAGAATGAAGGGTCCACCACGAGGCTCCAGGATTCCCCTTCAAATCCGTGGGCATCGCTGCTGAGGTCACTCCACAGAGAAGACTCCACAACATCTAAGATGTGTGGAGAAGGAAAAGCAGAGCCGGGTGTGTAGTAACACTCGCACAACACAAGCCAGGCTCCCCCAGCACAGGGCTCGTGGGTTCATCCCCAGAAACAAGCCTGCAGGGACACAGATGCAGCGAAGCCGGCGTAGTGTCCGTGGGATGCTGAGACAGCCAGACACCAGACTGCTGCCCTGATCCAATGGAAAGAGCGTCCAGGAAGAGGAGAGTAGCAATCACACAATGTGGATGGACAGGCCCAGTAAAGGGCTCGTGAGGAGGAAGCTGTTGTTCATTCACTCCTGCTCTATTTTCTTTGCATTTGGGGGCAACCCTGGAAGTTGCCGTGTCTGCGTAGGCTTCTGAACTCACGGATTGCCTTTGCTGTGGGTGATTCTGCACTATTTACTCCAATCACACCTGTGTGCTGCTCCGCCTGCTTTGTTCTTTCTTCAGCTCGCTGCGTTTACTATAAACGGGACGCCACATGCAAGGACTCAGTCACATGCAGTACAAGTTTTTCTGGCAGAATTAGACAGACAGACACACACACACACACGCACGCACACACACGCATACACACGCACACATGTGCACCACTCTCAGGACAAGGAGATCCCATTTGCCCTGATTCACTCACTGCCATAGTCCATGCTGACTCTGACCCTGTGGGACAGGGTAGGACTGTCCCTGTGAGTTCTGTACTCTTTACAGAATTAGAAAGCCCCATCTTTCTCCTGTGGAGAGGTGGGTGGTTTCAAACTGCTGACCTTGGGGGTAGCAGCCCAATGTGTAACCACTGCACCATCAGGGCTCCTATATTTTCCCCAAGGATACCACTAAAGAGATCCCAACTCCAAAGCACTAACGGAGAGAGGACGTTGGACTTAAAGGGCTGAAGTGCAAAATAAAAGGAATGAATTCTGGAGGCCGAGCCTGGCAGGAGAGGACTCCCGCTTGATCGTTGTCCTTTCACTGGGTTCTTGTTCCCTTTTCCACACAGATGGGATATGATCACTGAGTCCCAGATTATGCCCAACCCCCCAAAACACACGTGAAAAATGCCTCTACTCCCCAGGAGTAGAAGGCGAGAGACAGGAAGAAGAACCTCAGAGATCTAGGCCAATCTGGTCTGAACCCACTGAAGTAGATGGATCTCCAAGTGTGACCTTATTTCAGATTTCCAATGGCTGCAGGACATTTGTCCATGGCAACGTACACCCACAGTGTTGTCCTCTTCATTCGGTTTGTGAAATACCTTGCTGAAATACGTCATGTGCTATAAGCATCTTGTTTCCTTGGCTCATCTCCTCTGGAGTTAAAATTCCGATTCCTTTGATAAAGAGACACTAAACCATGTGTTCCCAAACTTATTTCACCTACTGTCCCATTTTTCAAACCAAAAAGTATTACTCAATCCCTCCTGGCAATTAAAAATTGTATGATAGCCCATGATCTAGGAAAAAACATAGGTATCTGTTTTTTCAGGGGGCACCCTCCCCCCCCCCCCCCATTGCAGATCTACCCTCCAGGGCGGCGCTATC